TTTATTATGTAGATTATAACCATCAGCTGTATTTTAACAGTCGAACAGTTTCTCATTATTGGTGGAAACCAAAGAATTTGATGTGTAAAATGTGCAGGAGTGAGGTTCACACCCAGGAGGTGTTAACCCTGCAGACTCAGGGTGGAGTTTATCCTCTGAAGGTGTTATATTAAAATATGACTACCAATAAAAAGGCATGGACAATGTGTGTGTGTGTGTGTGTGTGTGTGTGTGTGTGTTGGGGTGGTGTACAGAGCCAGATTAACCACCCAGGGGGCCCCAGCACACATTTTTTATTTCATTATTTCCTCATTTATGCTTCAAGCTGTTTTCAGCCATGCACTGAACTCCGCAGATCCTCCGTGTTTTCTCTGGAGGAGGTGCATGCGTGAACGCAATAGTCCGAGTGAGAGGCTCCGGATTATCTGCAGACGTTCTCCGCCTGGCCCCCGGATATAAAATGTGCAGAAAGCCGTCTAAAGTGTTGTTATACGCGTAGAAGACAACGACTTTGCTTCTTCTCACACTCTGCGATCTTTACATCCGTATTTGTTCACGTCTTCTTACAGATTATGGAGCAGTACCACCAGAAATCAAAGGCGGGCAGTGTCGCCAATAGTTCAAGGGAGACACGAGGGAGAAGTTTTTAACTGGGGGAACTTCGTGAGGAGAGAAAAGTTCAGGTGTCTATGTTTATGACACAAAATAAGACTTTTAATAACTTCACGAGGGAATCATAAACTTGAATATTGTAATACTTAAAAAAAGGACTCACTGCTGCTGGTACACTGTAAAGTTGAGGATGTTCTAACCCTGAGGGGATGTTTCACATTTCAAATCTCTGCATTGGCCTCAACAGAAAGAAGCCGCAGAGGCAACTGTGATGAGAGGAGAAGAAAAATGGAAATAAGTGACGACCAAGGTGAGAGTCTGTGTTTAGTCAGAGCACGTTTAAAGGTTAAAGCTTCAGAATCCCTTTTTTAAAACCAGTATTTCAATGTGTTCCTCTCCTGTGTTATTTATCCTGTGTGGTTATTATTTCCAGTGATGTCACAGAGAGTTTGGTGAAGACATGAGCTCATCGAACACATTTCGATGGAGTCCTCTTTCAACGGCGTAGAGCTCCGGGAGCTGCGGGGCGGAGAAGGCCGGCGAGGCGTGTCTCCGACACGGGTCTCGGCGCCCTGGACTGCAGGAACAGTGGGCGGCGCAAACCGAGGATTCGAGAACGTCTCCTTTCAGCAGGACGAGGAGCAAAACCACCACCAGCAGCAGCAGCAGCAGGAGGAGGAGGAGGAAGAGGTGAGCTGCCCGCCTTCGACGTCAGGCAACATCAAGGTTAGTTTGGTGTCTTTCTTACAGACGGTGAATATAGATGCACGACCTGACTGCTCCTCAAAAGGGAAGCCAAAGTCTATCGCCCCCTGGTGGCTGGCTACAGTACATGTCATAATCCCTGCCTCCTCCATGTTAACAAATGGGACATGGACCAAACTGGAAAGTCTATACATTTTTTCTCAGAGATGGTTTCTGTCATTTTAGGAAATTCTTATCACAATGATTAAAGTTCAAGTGTTGATGTTTCTGGTCAAAATGGTTTTAATTAGTTATTCGATGATTAATAGCGCGAAGCTTCCTTGACTGACATCTCACACTGAGTCATGACTTGTCACCGGGATCTCGTTACCACGGCACCAAGTTTCAGGGTCATTATTTTTTTTGTTTGAAATTTTTAAAAAACTGTTTGCCTTCACCTTTTACTCGCTGATAAAATGTTGCAGTTAAATAAAAATGAAGTACAACTTCCTTCCCTCCACTCAGCATCAGCATCAGGAGCTCTGCCCTCAGTCGTACGATGAGGAGGAAGGAGGTGGAGCGCAGGAGGACGGAGGACAGGACTTCACCGAGCTGAATCCGGCCGACGACCACTCTGCGGATTACGGCTTCGTCTTCGCCCTGGTGTTCCTGGTGAGCGGGATCGTCCTGGTGGTCATCGCCTACACCATCCCCAGAGAGGCCAAAGTGGACCCGGACTCGGTGTCGGCCCGGCAGATGGAGAAGCTGGAGATGTACTACGCCCAGCTGGGCTCCCACCTGGACAAGTGCATCATCGCGGGCCTGGGCCTGCTGACCCTGGGCGGGATGTTCCTGTCCGTGCTGCTCATGGTGTCCATATGCCGCGGTGAGATGTACCGTCGTAGGGTGGCGTTCATCCGACCCAAGAGGACTTACGGCTCCATCAACCTGAGGATGAAGCAGCTGGCGACAGGAGAGGCTGTAGAGGGCGGGGACGGAGGGGAGGAGTTTTTGGTGGAACACGCAGAGACGCGGAATAACATTCAACTGGGGCCGAGCCGGGACTCCAAATCTGAACCGAGCAGAAACCCTCAGAGTGCTTCTTCTTCTTCTTCTTCTCCTTCAGCTGCTGCACACGGGGTCAACTAGCTGTGCGTTACGGTGCTGCCTTCCTCTGAGTGAGCGCTCGGCTGCAACATGGGGATGCAAAATGGTGCAGATCCCCCATTTGTGCTAAGAGAAGCTCGTCTCCAGCACAAGACTTTGGGCTGCAGCAGCTCGGCTTCAACCCAGCATTGTGGGGTGAAGGTAAACCCAGTTAATGGCTTATTTATTCTCACCGATCGTTTAAAGGATGTATGACTTAACGAAGGAGGCTGGACCCCACAGAGGATGAGAGGTAAGCCTGGTTGTATATCAGAGATTAGAGCTCCTTCAGAAATCCTTGTAAGTAAATCAGAGACTGAGATTTAAAGGAAAAGGCATTTTGTGTCTGACTGAACCTGGAGGTCGGTCTGCACAGAAAGTTAGATCGACACTTCACTGAGAGTCTGGAGTTCGATACGAGAACCAACACTTAAATATGTTTTCAATCCTAATCACAAGATTAACACAGATGTTGAATATGGGATTTATTATGATGCTGCTGTGAAAATCACTGGAAATCAACGTCGGTCACTGGACTGGTTTCTTTATTTAATAAATGTGAAGGTGCTCTCCTGAAGCAGCGTTTAAAAAAACTTATATTTCACTCCGCTGTGACATTTTCACTCATCACCAGCATCAGTGATAAATGAACAATAATCATTTTAAAAGGACTTTTATTCAGTTTAAACCTGTGTTAAGCAACGTTTTTGATCCAATTAAAGACTCAGTGAATTGGAAAAGAACGACTGAAGCTCAGTGCAGATGTTTTTGTTCTCGTCTCACAGCTGTGATCAACCTGCTGGTTTCACATCAATTCACTTTTCTGTCTTGTTATATTATTAGTTATCTTTTTTCATAATAGTTTGACTTTAGTTTCAAAATATTAGGATCTAACAACTTTTGTCTCAAACTACTTCGTCTCAAGTTGTTTCCGAACATTGCTCCTCTTACTTACAACCCAGACGCCTGAAGATGAACAAATCGATAAATAAGTGAAAATCTAGGAAATTCTTGTGTGACTGTTTTAATCCAAAAAGTCTGAACCACAGTGAGAAATATTCCTCTAACTGACAAACACTGGTAACTCTGCTAAATCTCTAAATTTATTACAACACGCTGAACAAGTCTTAAAAGTTTACAGATGTAACAAGACAGTTTACACAGTGAGTTAACTTTTTTTGGGGATTTTTTTCTTTCGGGTCAAAAATTGCTTAATGCAGCTTTAACCTCCTGTGTTTTATTTCCCTCTGAAAAAGCCTGAGGAGCAGCAGCAGTTCAATTCACCAACATTACAAACATGTTTTTTAAAATATGGATGCAGAGACACGTAGGAGGAGATGATGAGCGAGGTGTTCGACTGAGAGGCGCAGAAGTGAAATGAGTCCCTGTGGAGAGGGTGACATACATTACCCAGAAAGCACCAGGAGAGCTCTTCTCTTCATCATCCTCTCGTGTCCTCTTTCCTCCTCATCTTTATTTTGTTTGTTTGTTTCCACCGACAACAGATTTTGCCACAAAGGTGATTTTCAGACCGACAGAAGAGACAGGGATGAAATCAGGGAAGTGAAGGTGTGAACGTCAGCTCCTCACTTATTTCACTCTTTCACTGCTGGTGGCTTTGATCTCGGCTCGTTTCTCCTGAAAACTGTTGAAAAACCTCGTGTTTGCTCCCGAGCTGCTTTTGCCAGCGTCACGTTCCGCAGTGTCGGAGACCCGAGTGTTTTTGTTCCACGCTGTACGTAAATATTCACTCACAGCAGAAACTTGAGAAATAACAAGAATTGGTCTCATTCATCTGACGTTTGAAGGTTGAATTGAAAGTTGAAATGAATTTGAAAACATAACTGAGGTCCGGACAATAGACAGAGAAATAGCAGTGGCTTGTTTTAGGTGTCGTCTGTGTTTCTATCTGACTGATGCTCAGCCCTTAACATGGAGAAGAAGCTGGTTTTGACTGAACTGAACCTTTAATGACGCAGCGCCTACTCATTTGTATTATATGTAAACAGAGGTTATTTATGTCATGTAAGGATACAAGAAGCCTTAATGAGTGAACACACACTGTAAAGTCTATATACACAAATATTATTATGCTGATGTATTAAAGTCTGTATAGTGAGCCAATTAGCCAAGGGTTATGTAGCCACACCCACACACACACACACACAGTATCATGCTAATTCTGAGCTCTTTATAAAAGTATGTACCAGAATTTACTTCACAGTACAAATATGCTGTAAATACACATGTAGACGTGTCGGATGTAGAGGACCAGCAAAAGCTAAAACGCTCAGAAACCAAAATACGCAACGCAGGTATGCAAAATTAGAAAAACCTCATCCCGGCCTGAACATTTTATTATTTCTTTATTTGAGTTGAGATTCATTTAATAACAAAAAACCATAGTAACGCAATAGAATTTAATGGTTAGAAGATATTAGAGCTGCAACTTTTAATTATTTCAAATTGCCAATTAATCAATTACTGCTACTCATTAAAAAAATAGTAAAGTAAAAAAAGCCCAGGTTGACTTATTTAAATAACGTGTTCTGTTCAACCAATTGTCCAAAAACCAAAGATATTATATCGTTTCTATCAAGTCAAAATCTAATCTGTTGAAGATTCTAGATCTTTAAATCAATTAACTGATTATCAGTGTTGTACTTTACTATTTGATCCATTTATCACATTCAACCATCGATCAAAGCCTGAAGGAAACAGAGAATACAAAAAATAAATACAACTTTTTTTTGTCGATCACCTAAATGGTGCAGCTCTAGTAGATAAAATACAAACTGTAAATCAAATGTGGCTTCACCAGAATATTCTGCAGGAAGTTAAGTGATAATTGAACTTCACCTGGTGATAATGTATAAAAATAAGTGACAGCAGTATTATTTGTTGGAGATGTTAAAAAATATCACGAGGACAATATGTTCCATCGTCTCTGGTGCAGCTCGTTAACCTCGTGGTGTCACTGGACGGTCACGGGTTTGATCCCTGCCACGGTCTGTCTCTGCTGATGTGCCCTTGAGTAAAAAAAAAAAAGAAATTTTACGTTTCATCCATCGGAGCCGGCGTCTTCTGCTGTTCATACACATCTAATATCAGAAAATCAGAATCCATTCACCTCTCAGTAAATTAGAGTGAAGTCAAAGTGGTGTCACTTGCATTTGAATTTGAATTTGGATTGGTTTGAACACAACTCAAATACTAATATTCACTTCAGGTGAATTTTGGATTTGTTGTCATTGTTTCCATAAAGGTTTTTTTCTGGTGATTTTTCGTCACCAGCTGTTATAGAGTGTAGATGGGGACTCTGGTTTTTAGCTGCTGACACAAACTATAAAAGAAATAGAATTAAAAGAACCAACAGCACAAAGCTGTCATCCTCTCAGGCAGATACATTTTAATAAATAATAATGATCCTGAACTTCTTTGCAAAATCTCTCGTAATTCAAAATTGAATTTGCTTTTTGTTGGTTTTGCTCACCAGGTCGAGTTGTTGTTTCTGAGGCGGTTCCATTAGTTTATTGGAGCCGGTGTTTGGTGCAGGATTATGTGGCTGACGGATGTTTCCAGCGTCATGTGGTTCACTCGCTCACTCGCTCCACCTCAGCTCAGATTACTTCACTCCACACAGATCTGGACTCAGTGTTTTCAAACCGACCCAAACAAGATTCCCACTGTCGCTCTGAAAAAAACAGAGCCTTGCTTTCAGGCATGGCTGTTTAGGTTGAGCACAAAGATCCATTCACAGAAACATCTGTGTTCAGATTCAACTTTGTGTTTCTACGTAAGTGTCTTGTTTTATAGACGATTCTTGTGTGATGTGACGTAAAAAAAATTCCACTGCAGCAGATCAACACAAACTCAAATGGTTCCTGTGATTTCAGCCTGAGTGAGAAACAGGATGAGGAGTCAGAGGAGGTTTCTGTGTGAGGGTGAAGTCGATGCAGCGGAGTCGCTGGACGACGTGAGCTGATTCTTGAAGAGATGCATGTTTAACTTGCGGGGGAAGACGAGTTGTGACTACGCATGAAGCTGAAGACTTTGAGCGACTCATTCAGGTTCACACACACTCGCCTCCGGGCAGGAGGACAGGAAACAGACAGACACGACTCGGCTTAAGGTTTTAACGAGCTTGAAAAAGCTGAGTGGAGACGGGAAGAGGGAGTTTTTCTGCTTCAGGCCGCAGGTCCTCGTTAGTGAGGGAAACAACACAGCAGCAGGAACACAACACGATGGAGGCGATGCTCGTTGCTGCTGGTTGACTTCACACAGACGCTCAGAGCTGAAAAGCTTTTTAGAGTTTCACCTCATGGATCAACAGATTCAGGTCGAGAGGAAACAAAGGTTTTAGATTGGAGGAAAACTCCATCGACTGAAGTCTGACTCCACATTATTTAACCTTCACCTCACATCATTTAAGATGTGAATCATCAGCAGCCGGGAGAGAGACGTCGTCAGAGGTGTCGGTTGAAAAGAATTATAACAAACAGTTTGGCTGCTGCCTTCTTTTATCCCCCTCGAGTTTGTAGAGGTTTTCTTTTTTTCACTCTGCAACAAACTGTCAATGGTAGAGTTGCACTGTGGGTAGTACAGGCGGCAGGTTCAAGGAAGTAGAAGACAATAAAAGCTGTGGTTGGTGCTTTTTGTTGTTGGTGTGTGCAGGTCTTTGTCGTCTGTTACTGATCCCATCATGCCGTGCTCTTGCATCTGCTTTCCTTCATCATACTGAAGGTCGGCAGCTCAGTTTGTGGACGTGCAACTGGAATCAGTGAAGACCGACAGAGACAAAGGAGAGCACAGTGTAAAGTTTCTCACATAAGGTCAACAAGCAGAGGATCCGATCAGAAGAGGAGCGAGTGGGGAAAAGAGCAAATTCGTGTTCCGCTTCTTTCTGTGACGTGTTTGAATGTCAAGAACAAACTCGAGCACCTTGGCCAAAGACGGAGAAAATCAATCTTTATTCTGTCGGCCGCGGGATGACTCCGTTACCATAGAAATGAGTCTATTTATATCAAGGATTGTTGGTGGATCGGTTCTCGGGTGACATGGAAAGTCCTTGTGATGAGGACGCGGCGGCAGAGCAGGGTCATCGTGTGTTTTTATTACAACTCGTCCAAAGATGGACGTTCATGTACCAGGCCAACGCAGAAATATAAATATTAATGATGATTCTTAACACCTCTGCATTTAGATTTATTCTGTCTCATCTCAGCTGCATCTCTGTTCGACAGAGTGTGAAGCCTGTTGAAGACAATACAATTCCTAGATTTTGAATGATGTATTTGAAATTATGACTTTTTCTCATAATATTACAACTTTCATCTTGTAAAAATTATGACTTATTTTGTAGAAGGATTTAATCCAGTTTATCTATCTGTTTACATATCTTATCCATCAGAATTTCCGTGGATGAAAAGATTTACCTTAAAATTATATGTCTGTAAAATATAGAAAAAAGCTTCAAAATTTAAAACTCACCAATTTAAGAAGAAAGAATCGAGAAGCTCTTCTCCCTCCCTCCACACTGAAGGTCAAAGGTCGGCCACAGCAGCAGTGTTCCTGCAGCTGTTTGGGATTCAGTACTTTACTCAAGGACACTCCAGCAGAGAGCAGGGCGCCGACCCTGAGCTTCAAGTCATTAATCACGTCGCATCCTGCTGCTTCAGAGAAAAACTCCAGTAAAGGTCGAACAGGGGAGTGAAAATAAAAAAAAAATCCTGTAACATTGATTAAACCACATCAGACAGAAAATATAAATAAATAACCGTTTAACTTTATAAACCTAACAGAGTGATGGTCCTCTGTCTTCACAGGCTGGAGCTGGATGCTTCCCTTTATGTACAGATGCAATACGCAGAAATCAAACACGCAGCCGTAGCATTTTACTCCGAGACGCCATGAATGTACAGATTAAAGCCGTCGCTGCAGCAGCGTCACGCTACATCACGGTATCTGGTTATATAACGATATTTGGTGTGAACAGTCACAGTCAGTGGAAAAACTATTGTTTAAACATTCCTGTTGTGTTTTTAATGATATTTAGAGATATTTAGAGATGAAGCGATATTTCACAGTGGAGGACAGTCGAAACCTCAGAACATTCACATTTCTATCATGCAAAACAGAGAAATCATTCAAGAATCTGTTGCTGGACCTTGATAAAGTCTACATCATTTGAAAGCCCTGAGTCTTGTGATTACATCTGTGCAGAGAGTTTTAGGATCATATCACTGGAGCAGCTTGGTTGAGTCAGTTTTTAGTCGTAAAATGAAAAGACAAAGACTTTGAGCCTCTTTCAGCTGCCGAATCTGAATGAATTTAAAGTGTAAAGAAAATCTAAAAGTTTCTGTCCAGGTGAAATATCGCTTTAGAAAACCAGAGTGAACTGATTAATATTAAAGTTTATGAAATATATAAAAAGAATGTTTAAAGACATATTCATATTATTATTCTGTGGCCTGAGAAAGATGTTGTTTGACTGTTTGTGGATCGAAGATGTGAAACTTTTACAACAAGTGAACGTGACGTTTAGCACAGAACAAAAGGCTCAATGAACATTAAAGGGATATTTCACTTTTATATTCAAGCAGTTTTCCACTGATTCTCCTCCTGACACAAGAAAAGAATCTCGGTGAAGTGCACAGAGCCCTGGTTTGACAAACGTCGTGAAGAGCACAGTTACTGTTCAGTGTGTCGTTTCAGTATCATCATCATCGTCTGACCTGTGTCTCTTTGTGACAATTATTCTTTTCCATTTTATAATAATAATCAACTACGCCCAGATATTCCTCTTAAAATCAAACAAGGATGAATGTAGGAGTTTTGAATGTTGGATTAAATAAATATTCTCGCTATAGAAGGTGATCAAACATATATAAAATATATCAATATATCAGTGTGGAGAAACAGGCCCATGTTTTATCATCGGTCGACTCTCTTGGTTAAAGCGGACGTTGCTTCGTGCTTCAGGAGGTCGAGAACCTGCATGTTTTTCATGTGTGACGCTGTAAAGATGCGACTGTAACGAACATGCTGATTTATAATTATGATTTTGTTAACGTGAACAATAAAAACAAATCTGTTTTGCTGTTGTTTGTAATCTGTCGTTCTCTCTGGTCATTTCTCTCATCTTTATTTAAGATTTAAAAGAGGACAAGGAGCAAAAACGGAAATTGTTCCAAAAGGTACAAAGGGAAACAAGAATATTTTGTAATCGATGTTTGTATTTGTGGTGCTTCATGTCCTATATGTAATATTATATGTTGTGAGTTTGTGCAGCTGCAGGTTTCTTTACTCTCAATGAGAGTTTCAGGTGAAATAAAGGAAAACCTAAATAAATGAAAAGTATCGTATCAAAGCTGTCAAATAAATTTCATGGTGTATATTCCTCCAAGTAAAGCTGGGTGGTATAAAATAATATAAGATCTGAGAACACAAGCAATGTCATATGAAGTATTGTAGTAAATGTATGAGTAGTAGAGAAATAAACATGAAGAAGAGCGAGTGAAGCAGCAGATGAATATTTTAGTCATCAGGTTTAAAAACATCAGCCCATTAACGGACATGATGAGCAGCACCGCTGTGACCAGAGCGAGGACGCCCTGTGGTGTCTGTGACTATATTTATTTACCTCCCATCATGCACTGGGAAAAGTAAAGAGACCCGTGGAGGTGGTGGTTTGTTTGTCGGTGACCTGCAGGGAAATAAAAATGTGTTGAAATGAAAGTGATGAGAGAAGCTGCAGTGTAAATACAAATAAATAAAAGGATTGTTTGATTAATAAATGACAATAAAGTCACAGTGAAAAAACTCACAGGAAAACAAACGGATAAGACAAGTGAAAAAAGTGAAAGTACGGAAGATGAACAGACAAATAAATAAGAGAGGAAAGGAAAAGTGGAAGAAAATGAAAATCATTCATGGTGGAGAGAGAAAGATGGAGACTAAAAGATAGAAGAAAAGATGATAAAGAAGAAGAAGAGACCAGAATGTGAATTCTGAGATTTTTATTCGGGCGTCTATCATCATCCATGTTTTTAAATCAACAACAATCCAAACTGAAAAACTTAGTAAGAACCAGATGTTAATCTTTTCTAACAAGTTCACAAAATATAACAAGCTCAAGAAAATGTCATCTCATGAACTTTACAAATATGAGATGTGGTTCAATGCGACGAGAATCTTAGCGTTAGACACTGAGGAAGTTTTATTCTGAAGGTCGAGTGTGTGAGCAGCTGAGAGGAATCACTTCCATCACACTCGGATATTTTCCAGATGTTTCCTCTGTTCAACAAGATGTCTCTTAAAGAATCCAATGTTCAGACATCAAGATAAAAAAAACTAAATCCAAGTTTATGATCAGGTTGTTTTCTGTGTCTGTCTGAAAGATTCTTTTAAACTTGTAGTCGAAATCAAGTTTCCCTAACGACGGTCTCCAGCAATCATTTATTTATTGTATATTTAACACATCCAGAGCACGGCTCTTCAGCCTTCTTCCACATAAATTATGAACACATTAGTTTTATGAAATGAACATGTGGAGGTAGCTGGGAGAGGGAAACCTTCACCTGGACCAGAGGATCAGTCAGCGCAGGTGAGAGCCGGTAGCTGATCGATCCTCTGGTACAAAAGGCAAACAGACGAGCACAGAGGACAGAGACGGAGTTGTGCAGAGAGACACTCACACAGAGACATTAAGCGGAGCTGCAAAGCCAGATACCTCCAGAAAGTGCTGGTACTTTAAGTTTGGACTTTTGAGGGTTTTGTTATGATTAAATAAAGAAAGTTAAAATGGTAAAGCCCGAGTGGTTTGTCTGTGGCTGCTGTGGTGAGAACCCCGCAGCGTCGTCTACTGCCACAGAACACATCGGAAAACAAAACCTCCTTTAGGAAACAATGGGAGAAAACGTTTTTCTTCTCAAACCCTGGAGGAGCTTGAAACTGCCGCTACATGAACATGTCGTCATAACCAGGAGGAGGCAAGTCCGGGTGCGGCCTGAAAACAAAATAATAAAATCACAAAAGTGTTTCTGTTGGTAAAGAAAAACTGTCGAACAGAACTCAAGTATCATTAAAAACTGTGTCTAGATAATCAGTATACAAATAACGTACATTTCAGCAGCACTCGTCACGAGCAGCTGTCATGAACTGTTAGTGAAGTGTCACAGACGCTGGTGCCACTAATGAGTGTTAGCCAAATCAAATGTTACTGTTCATAACAAAGTTCAACAACCTGAAGGAGAAGAGATGAATATTTGGTTTATAAAACAAGTGAAATATCATTCGCACCAGATTTCCTGTGATGTATAATTCCCATGATGCTGCAGCACAGCTCCGGTTGACTCCATTATCTCTGAGCCGAGTGTTAAAGGTCGTCTGCGGCTGCTCAAATCAGCTGTCGCTCATTGTAAATATTAATTGTGAATGAATGTCAGGACAAAATAAAAGTTATTGTCTGGCTTGTGTCTCTGCAGCCGATGTCTGTCCTGGTGGGCTGAGAGTTTTTGTATTTCTAACAGAGTGATACATCTTCTCTCTCTCGCTGGTCTCATCACGATGAAAGACAACATCAGTTTATGTTTTAAGTGAACGGACAGAGGGAGGAGTGTGTGTGTGTGTGTGTGTGTGTGTGTGTGTGTGTGTGTGTGTGTGTGTGTGTGT